GGTGGAACCCAAGGAAAAGACTCCCAAGCAAACTGCTTGATGTTGACCCCCGGCAGAAAGTTTAACTTTTTGGGGGGTTAGCGGAAAACCCAACTTGATTTCAACCAAAAAGTTAAAGACTAAAGATCCAACCCAACAGCAGTCAAGACGTTTCTTTTTCCCGAAAGCATGGCGAAGGGTTCTTCCGCTGGGTTCACTTGAGTTGTTCTCATGAGAGTCATTACAAGGTGTCATTGCAAGGAATCATCATCATGAAAGTCATTGCAAGGAGTCATTGCAAGGAGTCGTTGCAAGGAGTCATTGCAAGGAGTCATTGCAAGGAGTCATTGCAAGGAGTCATTGCAAGGAGTCATTGCAAGGAGTCATGGCAAGGAGTCATTGCAAGGAGTCATGGCAAGGAGTCAGGAGTCATGCAAGGAGTCATTGCAAGGAGTCATTGCAAGGAGTCATTGCAAGGAGTCATTGCAAGGAGTCATTGCAAGGAGTCATTGCAAGGAGTCATTGCAAGGAGTCATTGCAAGGAGTCATTGCAAGGAGTCATTGCAAGGAGTCATTGCAAGGAGTCATTGCAAGGAGTCATGGCAAGGATTGCAACTTGCACTTGACTCCTTGCACTTGCAACTTGCACTTGACTCCTTGCACTTGCAACTTGCACTTGACTCCATGCACTTGCAACTTGCACTTGACTCCATGCACTTGGCTCCTTGCACCTTGCACTTGGCCCCTTGCACTTGCAACTTGCACTTAACTCCGTGCACTTGCGACTTGCACTTGACTCCATGCACTTGGCTCCTTGCAACTTGCAATGGCATGACTCCTTGGACTCCTTGCAATGACTCCTTGCAATGACTCCTTGCCATGACTCCTTGCAATGACTCCTTGCAATGACTCCTTGCAATGACTGCTTGCAATGACTCCTTGAAACAAGCAAGGAGTCAAGTGCAAGTTGCAAGTGCAAGGAGTCAAGTGCAATTGACTTGCGAGGAGTTAAAATCTCTTCTTAGGGCGGCGGGGTAGTGCCGACGACACTACACGAAAATCGACCCTCTGCGGGGATCGGCGTGGTCGAGGTGCAAAAACCCATCTCTGCGGGGATCGGCGTGGTCGAGGTGCAAAAACCCATGTTTTTTTTGCGATTTCTAAAGTTCCCGCGCGACCCTCTGCGGGGATCGGCGTGGTCGAGGTTCAAAAACCCATGGTTTTTTGCGATTTCTAACATGCTCGCGCGACCCTCTGCGGGGATCGGCGTGGTCGAGGTGCAAAAACTCGAGGTTTTTTTGCGATTTCTGCGGTGCTCGCGCAAACCCTCTGCGGGGATCGGCGTGGTCGAGGTGCAAAAACCAAGGGTTTTTTGCGATTTCTAACATGCTCGCGCGACCCTCTGCAGGGATCGGCGTGGTCGAGGTGCAAAAACCCATGTTTTTTTGCGATTTCTAAAGTTCCCGCGCGACCCTCTGCGGGGCTCGGCGTGGTCGAGGTGCAAAAACTCGAGGTTTTTTGCGACTTTTGTTGTTCGAACTGGTCCTCGGGAGTTGTCTCGTGGTTCGCGCGCCTGCTCCCGGAACCGGCGGGTCGCGGGTTCGATTCCTCCCTGGTCCGCGGGCGGGCGTCGCAAGATGCAACTTGCATTTTAAAGCAACTTGCGCAGAGCAACTTGCGCAGAGCAACTTGCGTAGAGCAACTTGCGCAGACCAACTTGCACCGACCAGTTTGCGCAGAGCACCTTGCCTGGTGCTGTCTCGCGCTTGCTTCACAAATGCTTCGTGTAGGGAAAAAGAACGCATCCTGCAGCGTTGGGCCGACCTCGCTTGCGATGTTCTGCTTTCGGGCCAACCGTGGTCTAGTTTTTAATGCAAGTCTTCTGTTGTCCTCTAAAGCTCACCATCGCGAAATTGGTGCAAGATGGTTCTGTGAAGGGGTTCACAACCTTTGAACCACCGGCACGGTCCCACGTTAAGCCAGTCAGATACCCGCGATTGATCAATCGTCACAGCAAAGCTCAATGCAAGTTGCATACGAGTCAGGCCATTGGTTGAGCCTCCACAAGACATGAAGGTAGAGGAAGGGGGTGACGAGAGAAAGGTGACGAGTTCTTTACTTTATGTCCTTCCTCCCATCCGGCGAGAGAAAGAGCAAGATGACCCATGCGACTCGTTCCCCTCTCCACTCCAAGGCCCCAGCAGAGCAATCTCTTCTCTGCCAGGCACGGTGCCTTGCGGGGGACGTCAAGGGCACCTGCTGTTGGTAGGATGTTGAACTGTCTTGCCTTTTGTACAAAAAACAAAACGAACAAAAAAAGCAAAACAAAGAGGAAAAACAACAAAAAAGAGATGTGGAATCATAGGATTCACTTCCTGAGTGGATTGGTCAAAAGAAACGAGGTCCGGACTTGCTGCTTGCCACTCAAACGGACTTCCCCCCCTCCCCCCCCCCAAAAAAAAAAAACAAAGTCAACTCAGGGAGTAGGGTTCAATCCCAACCCCTCTCCTGGCCCTTCAAATTCAAAGGCCTTTGGCAGAAGGGAGGGTCGTAGGGTTGGAACCCTTTGAATCAGTCTAACATGCTGGTTCTCAGGGGATGAGGCTCTCAGGAACGAACCTGAGGATTGCGACGAGAGAAGCTTGGGGCCCTTCCAAAACTCCCGGAAAACAAAGATGGGGCCGTGGAGAGCAGATTCCTCGACTTTGAAGTAGAAAACCGGTCAAGAGTTGCAAAAGTACAGGACAAACAAGAGCCACTGGGGACCAATTCAGCCACCGCGTCACGTTTGGCTCCCCGACCGGACTCCGGCAGTGTCTGCCAAATGCCTCGCATAGGTCTTTTTCCCGCCGTGATCGTGTTGCAGTGGAAAAAGCGCAATTCGCTGTCCACGTTTAACCGCCTAAATGTATGGCCAAACCTTTAACATGCACATGTTTTCTTCGAAGAACATCATGTCTGCTCCCATATAAGCAAAACAAACTGCGAGAACCCAGGCAAGAAAGCGGCATCGTTGTTCTTTCTCCCGTTGAGAAGCTAAGTGACACGGGGTGAAGTGCTCAGAAGTCCAGTGGCTTGTCTTTGCTTGGTTGATTGTAAAGGCAAGTCCTTCCCTCAGTTGCCCCATCTGGGACAAACAAATATACAGAAGGTGCTCACCTTTTTTTGGCCACAGAAAATGACTGAACAGGGACCACCAAAAGTCAAAGGCTCGGCTTTGGGCAAGTGAGCTACCCAAAAAAGGCGCAAAGGATGTCACTCGGCAACTGGGACAACAATTGTCCGAATCACACCACCAAAGTGGCTTGACACCAAACCGCAACAACCAATTTGAGGTGTGGGCTGCGTGCCGGCGAACTTGAAGACTGTCCATTCCCAAGAGGTTCCCGAATAAAACAGCACCCTCCTTAAGTGGACAGCGGGCTTGGACGAGACTAGCCAAGGCCCCTGTCCACTTCCATCTTTGAAGGGGTAAGACTACTCCGAATACCAAAGGGGCAACCAGTACTTTCTTCAACCAAGATGTGGCAGTGGGTCAAAAATATGTACCCAAAATGGGAACCCTGGTATATGGAAACATGGACTAAAACCTGCGGTCCCCTAGTGGATCAATTTTGACCCATATCCATATAGACCAGGGATACCCCTACTCCGAATGACTTTCTTATCTTTCTTTCGGTGTCCTTCAGGAGACCCCTGCTGGGCCGCCTCCCGGCTGCAGCCGCGGGAGCTCATCCTGCGCGCGTGAGTTGGATGCTTGGTTGAGGATAGAGGCAACGCACGCCTCTTCTTAGGAAACCACGTCTGGCCTACCCTTTGGTTGACAAGGTCCTGAACAACAAAGGGCGTCGTCTTTTGCTTTTTCAGATCTTCTCAACCGAAAGGTAGGCCAACCGCACAGACATGATGTTCTTGTACCAACGTCTTGGGGAAGCAAAGCTGGGATTTGAATAACCCTCAACAAATAAATCAATTCCCCCCCGCCCCCCCAAAAAAAAGACACACACACAAGACAAAACAACAACGATCTTGCCGGACCAAATGCCACGCGCGGGGTAACACATGCCAGACTGAAACCGCCCGCCCCATGCCTCGCCCATGGCCGAGTATGACGTCGTGGCGGCTCAGTTGCATCCAGTAGGTTGCCATCTGACACTGGAGTAAGGAAACTGACCCTGAAGGTTAGATGGCTGTGAGTCAAAAATAGGTACCCAAAATGGAACCCTGGCAAATAGAACCAAGGACTAAAACCTGCGGTCCCCTGGTGGCTTAATCTTGACCCATACCCATATGGACAATTCCTCGATGCGTGGTTAAGAAATCGCAAACCACGCAAAGGGGGTTTCTTTGGCTTCCCTTGAAAGCCACCGCAAAACGGTTGCCTCTGCTTGCTGAATATACATCACCCGCCGCTTCGCTCAGCGCAGGCTGTACGTGCTTGAAGCAAAAAGGCGGAGTCAGGCAAGAATCTGGAATGGGTCGCTCCTTACCCTTTCGGCCTTCGAGATTGGTGGTTTGAGGGTTTGCTGGCTTTTGGAGTCGATGGGAAACCACCCCTAATACCAACGCACACCACCAAAGAGAGGGTACCTGAACATCTGCTGAAACCACAAACGACAGCCTACGAATCAATGGGCCTCAATGACCTTCATGAACGAGCTCAGGTTCCCCTCGCGGCAATCAGGTGCAAACATTTCAGAGAACAGGCTGCAGCCAACTCTTCTTCAAGGCTTTGCTGCCTTTGTCTCGTTTGAGCAAAAACTCTGAAAGAGCAGCGTTTGCTCTTGAATCCCCAAAGCAACGCGAGGCGAGCTCAGCCCAGGAATTAGGCTTTGGTGACCTTCGATTCCATCAACGCTCCAACAAGTAACACCACTTATTGTTCTTCAAAATAGGGAAACCCCGACAAAGGCCCTGAAACTCTCAAGAAAGAAATACCCTGTTTTCAGAAACACCCTTTTGAGTGTTTGCCGATCAACCAGCGCATCAACCAGCGTGTCCGGCCGCCGCTTTTGGTTTTTCTCCGCGGGCTGTACAGAAGATTCCCGCGCCGCTAGCCGCTAGCCGAAGAGGCCCCAGTCAGCGATGCGAAAAGAGCGCAGCACCGCCGCCAGGATGGCCTGCCCGTTGCGAGCAGTGACCGCAAGTGGACACGCTGTATGGGTTTTCACAGTTTTAGTGGGGAAGCCACCAAACACCAAACAGGAAAAGAACGACTGGGCCCGGGCAATCTATCGCGCTATTAACCTGTTTGATTTCCAAATCAGAAAGATTCACAAGTGAAGCCAACCCCCTCAATAGCTATCCCTTTGCTAAAAGTGCAAACAGCCATTGGATAGATCATACTCCACAGGCCAGCCCTAAAGACGCACAGCCCAGAACCACCAAACCCCTCCCAAATGATTGGACGTAAATGACGTCCACCAAACGACGTCCACAACTAAATGACGTCCACTAAACTTGCCGGTGCTCAGTAGGGAATGAGGGAATGAACCTGGATATTCCCTTAAAGGAAACCACAAGGAATTGACTATAGGTGGTCATTCCCGCATTCCCTGGCGAGGATCCCCGCTAGAATTCCCGTCCCCCGACCTCCGAACGCTGAACGGCTTTCCCGATCGCCTCTGCAGACTCCACAGGCACCGGGGCATCAGCAGAGCTGCTCTCAGGGTCAATGGACACCTGGCGCGACCCTGGCCCCGCATAAAAACAACCGAAAAACGGACACCTGTAGGCTGTAGGTGTGGCTTTTTTCTGGGGAGGCACCGATGTTGGGGATTTGACAGGGAAACTTCAGGGAAAACCAAATCCAATTTTGGACACACCCGCGTGAAGTGCTGCTGGCCCCGTGATATTGAGAAAAACATGTGTAACAGTGCATGGCACGGGTAAAAAACTATGGTGTCCCAGTCGAATTGCAATCAAAGACACCCAAGTTTAAAGGGAAACCCGCTGACTAAAATACTGACCCCAGTAAAACGGGACCTTCTTGGTGAAGGGAAACCTCACTTCTTGAGTGGACATATGTAGCCTCGGTTGTCGTGCTGTTTTGACACATGCACGGGTCTATGCTTGTGTAATTTGGAAGGGGCTCGGGTGGTGTTTAAGAACACCATTCATCTGCGAATGCTAGACAAGAATCATACGTGCAAACCTGCAACATAAATAGGGACCCTCGAGTAACCAACCTGCGTTAAGGGTCTTAGCTTGCTTTACTTTTGGGTTTCAACCGAAAGGCCCGCCCCACCCCCCGCCGGGTCGTTCAAGGTGATGAGGAGGTCCTAAGTAGCCATCGTGAAACCCATGAAAGGGTGTTTTCAGGTGTGGGGTTTGGAGCCTGAAGGGGTATGGTCTGCCTTACAAGTTTTGCTTGGTGGTATATAGACATCCATACCCGGGAATCCTCTCAGAACAGCTTTTAATGTGACGTTCCTTCCCTTTGCACCAAACTGGTGCGCTATGGATCCCGAGAAAGCTCGAGAAAAGGTCAGCCCAGCTTAGTTTCAGCTAACGGCGTCGGACAGCCACTCGCAGCTTCGCACACATGCTGGCACATAGAAAGCACATCCGCTCAAGGGCGCCCGCTCAGCACTGCACACATGCCTGCCAAATGGTAAGCGCACCCGCTCAAGAACCAAGTGGTAGGCACACCCGCTCGAGAGCACCCGCTCAGCACTGCGCACATGCCTGCCAAATGGTAAGCACGCGCGCTCAAGAACATCTGCTCAGCACTGTGCACATGCCTGCCAAATGGTAAGGACACCCGCTCAAGAGCACCCGCTCAGCACTGCGCACATGCCTGCCAAACTGTAAGCACACCTGCTCAAGAGTATCCGCTCGGCACTGCGCACATGCCCGCCAAATGGCGCGCGCCCTCTCAAGAGCACCCGCTCAGCACTGCACACATGCCTGCCAAATGCAGTGGCGCCAACCACAAAGGGAAGCTTTGTGTTGCCACTGCGGACCTTTGCACAAACGCCAAGATGGCATGAGAAGCTGTAGCAGCACCTCGCTGTGACGAAAGGGTAAGAAAACCAGAGCGAATTCTGCATGCGACAACGTTTGCTTGAATCACACTGTAAACGACATGAAGCGGACTTGGAATTCATAATTTTTGAAAGCATTGGTTATTGTGATTCGGGCACGAGCCTGTGCCCAGGCAATGGGTAAGTTGGGGTAAACAAGCCACAAAAGAAAGGTTCCCCAAAAGCAAACCAATCCCCGGTCCCAAAGATCAGGGTTTCCCACACACCAGAGAACAACAACCAAAGGAAAACAAACCAAACAAGAAAAGGGTTAACCCGCAACCTTGGTCGACAACAGGCCGCACGACTGGTCCCTACCAACCTGGCGGCGGCCCGAGGTCTCTTTCTCCCCCGAGATGCCGTCGGTCGACGCAGGGGTTCGGCGACGCCCATTCGAGGCGCGACGGAACCCAAAACTTGAGCCAAAACACCACAGGTCGGTCACTAACGCGACGTTCCTGATGATGATATGAACCATGGCTAATCACACCCCCCTCACGAGGAGCCCGTCATATGACGGGTGGAGCGTGCCATTTACTGATAGGATTTAACTGCTCGCATGCGTCCGCAAACAGCTGGACACTACCGCCGTCAGCGGTGGAGCAAACCCACAAAGGCAGTTGCGCGACATCCCGGGCATTAAATTCCCGCCACCACCCCGAATTAATCGGGGTAACGCTGTCCAACAAACCTTGTGGAAAAGTCCACATGACGACATTAGGTCACAACTGTTTGCATCAACAATGCAAGAAGTTTAATTCTTATCAGAAGCCATGAAATAAAAGATAACGTATGTCCATTAGTACCCTCGCCTAACGGCAAGAGGTACCCCTGACCATGCGTACCTGAAAAATGCTTGAATTCCGCAAACCCGGGAGTAACCCCCCATCAGTTTGCTTTCCCTCTCACTCATACTGCTTCCGGATGAGCACGTCCAGCAGCTCAGCAGCGGTACGGGAGAGACATGACCTCCGCGCCTCAGCGGTCCGGGAGGAACATCACCACCTCCGCACCGCGCCGACCATTGGAGAATGGACGCAAGCCTATCGGCCGCAATCCTCGTGACTCAGCCTACCGGCTATCGTCACGTCTCCTCCGGTCACGTCCGCCCCGCGCACGGTCCCTATCACGATCCCTTTCGGATCTCCTGCGATCATCTCGCCTTCGATCCCGCTCCCGATCGAGTGAATCATCATCACGACGATCACGAGCATCGTCCCTCCTCCTGTCGCGATCATCCTCGCGCCGCGGACGATATCTGCGCCTCCTCGACTCTCTGGAATCCCTGGTGTCCACGGTCCTAACGGACCTCCGAGAAGGAGTACGGGAAACATCCGATTCCCTACGCCTCCTCCCAGATTGAGAGTTCGTCACGATCTGGTTGAGAGCTTCCAGTGCCGACGCGTCCTCACCATTTCTGATGAAATCCCTAACCTGCTTGTTCAGCACTCTGTTGGTGGAGATCGTCAAGAAAGCGTCCACCACCGAACTCTCAGGCAGCACCAGGAAGTGACCCTCCACCGGGCTCGCCGCGGCCCGCTCAGCAGACTGCAGCCGGATCTCCCCGCCTTCAGGCTTCTTTGCCATCGCCTTGGAGGCAGTCAAAGGCGCTACCGCATCCTTTGCCGAAGATCTGCCAAGCGCGGAGTGAAGATCATCCCCGCTAGCTTCTCTCGCTGCCGCACCTGGTCTGCTGTCGACGTCGCCAGGCCTCGTGGATGCCTCCCGCTTTGTCGACTCCTTCGCAGCCTCGTCGGGATCCCAACGGGACTTCCTTTCTCTCTTCTGCCCTTCGGCCGACCCGCGGCTACCGCCGGGAGCGTCACCTCCGCCTGTCTTCTCCTTCTTGACCTCAACCTTCGGTTCGGCCTGCTTCGTCTCCTTAGCCACAGCTTTTGGAGCCGGAGCACTCCTCGCCTCAGATGCCGAAGCAGCCTTCCCTTTCGGCTCTGCCTTAGGAACCGGGGTCACTTTAGCCTTGGCACTCGGCCTGGCCCCTTCAACCACCATCTCGGCCCAAGACTTCTTCGGCTGAGCTGCTGCTGCATCAACCTCCATCGGAGCAGGTCCAGCGTCATCCTTCGCCTTTGGGACGGATGGGCTACCGCCCTTACCGGATCCTTTACCCGGCACTTCACCTGATTTTGGTGGCGGGCCGGAAGGACTACCGCCCTTACCGCCCTTTTCCCCCTTTTTCCCTTTTCCTTTTCCGCCCTTGGGGACCGGCTCCTGCTTGGGACCAGGACCCGGCGCAGCATGATGCACCGATTGGAGTCCCTCGATGTCCACGTTCAAAGGTTCGGGTTGACGACCGTCAAGAACCGTCCTCACCCTTTCGTCACTAACGTAGACGAACGGGTCACGGAAGGGTGCGGGAGGCTCCGACTGTCCGGCGCTGATCGCCTTCTGCACCTTGGCTATCGCCTCCTTCAACCTCTTCTTCTCATCATACCCTGTCTCCGATACCATGTACTCCCTGAGCTGCGACATCAACGCATGACTCTCCAGGATGTCCACGTCCTTTCGATGGGTCGGGTACAATGGGGTCAGATGACCAGCCGCAGAACCAATCACGTATGCCATCGGAATATAGAATGACAAGTACGTGTCATGACGAGCGAACTTCCTAACGGAAGTCGTCATACGCCTACCCCACTGAGCAGCGTGTCTTGGGTTGGCCCGGAAGTACTCCGTGACCGACTCAAATTTATCGACTTGGTTGGTCTTGATCAGGTGCTTCGCCACCCACTTCTCCACAAACGCATCCGAGGCCGAAATCCCGGACACATAGGAGAATTGGAAGAGCACCTTCGCCAGCTCATCCCACGCCGCATCGACACCTCCCTTGTCTTCACCAAGATAAGGGGGAAGTCTGATGCCGCTCTGCACCGTCATCCTTAGATCGGATGCCATTGAATAGGAAATCAAATTCCTTTTGATGACTCCGACCACTTCGGAGGGAATCCTCCTGGGCTTGAACTGCCCCATGGTCCTCACCCACTCCGGCACGATGTGGCACGTTTCGAAGTCCTTTTCCTCCGCGTTGGGGATAAAGTTCGGGTAAAAGACCGGGAGCGCGCACCCGGGACACAAGTGCATCCCATTCGGCATCAATTCCGCGCACCTCAAGCAGAACGTGGCAGTCACATTCAGCCTGATCTCTTCCCGTGATCGCTTGTGCTCTCCCCTAACGGGGGTGAAGTCACCGTAGTCCCATGCCCGATGGTACACTATCGTGTAATCATCGTACATATACGCCGCCTTCCAAGCCCCCATGTGGATCTCGTTCCTAACGGCAAGAGTCTTCCTTCTCGTCAAAAACACGGGTCCAACCAAGGACCAGTGCACCCGAAGATCCACCATTACCACCACGTACCTACCGGAGTAGTTCCGCAGCCTGTCCCTGACATACCACGAAGGCGATACCTCAGCATCCGGCGCCATGGCTCCCACAAGTGGGATCAGGCCCTCATCCTGCCTACCATCCCCAATGGTCTCGTACACATCGGGCCTCGTGATCAATATCTCGATCATGGCCTTTCCATTTCGCCTCACCCTTTGGAGCTGAACCGCCTTCCGAAAGTCCGAGAACTTCATGATGACGTATCCCACCATGGGGAGTTCATTCCAATGCATCTCATACATTAGAGATCCGCCAGGTGCATCTTCCTGAGTATACCTGTGCCTAACGGCACTGTAACTCAAGTCGCGTCCGATCCGCGTGTGCCTAACGGCAACCAACCTGGTGCTCTCCTTGAGGAGAACGCCATCCCCGTCGTACATGACCATGAGCATCGCCTCCACTTGCCCTATCGGGAAAGCTTTAAGCGTCGGAATGAAGAATTTCCAAGACATCTCAGCGTTCTCCATGCCCGAAATCTCCTTCAGAAACCAGATGGCCTGGTCACTTTTCACCCAGTTTCCAGCCTCACGTCCGGTCTCCTTCAGCACACGTTCCTCGAATAACTCCGAGACTCTCTTTGAATTGATGACCAAGCCGTCGAAATCGCACGAGAGCAGTCTCATCAACTCCTTCGCCGCCTCCCGTCCTGCAACAGTGCCCACGGTCTCCTCGTAGTTCGGGAGGTATTCACCCAACCTCGTCTTCGAGGGAACCACAATCTGGCAAGTGACGGCCTCATCAGGGATAACTCCCGTTTCCCTTAACTCTGGATTGATCTCTCGCCTATCGGCAAGATAATCCTCCTTCCCATCCAGTATCACAAGATTGTAGGTCATCTTGCTCGCCGCCCCAC